AAAAAAGATTAACAACTGGTCATGCAAGTTGCTTTCTTATGCAGGGCGAATTCAGTTGGTAACTACAGTCGTTTATGGAATGGTGAATAGTTAGAGTCATGTCTTTCTACTCCCGAAATATATACTTAAGCAAATTGATGCACTTTGTTCCTCCTTCCTATGGAAGAACTCCGTCACGAGTTCTGGGAGAGCAAGAATAGCCTGGGATATTATATGCAAACCTAGACAAGAAGGTGGGCTAGGAGTAAAGAGAATTGAAGAACTGAATAAAATTTTCCGGCTAAAGATGGTATGGAGTTTTTTCAAGGATGCGAGCTCACTTTGGGTAGCCTGGCTAAGGAAGAACGTGTTGAAAGATGGCTCTTATTGGAGTACTATGCCGACGGCTAGACACTCTTGGAATATCAAGAAACTGATCAGAATGAAGGACTTAGCAAAGAGGTTTATTAGATGCAGGATCGGAAATGGAGGTACTGCTCTCTTCTGGCATGATAATTGGACTGCTCTAGGTCCTCTTCTTGATTACATTGGGAGGGACGGACCTAGACTCCTCAGGATTCCGATAAACAGTACGGTTAGTGCAGCTACAGCGGGGGGACATTGGTCACTACCTGGCGCTAGATCCAGCAGGATTCAAGAGCTCCATATACAGCTCCTAATTCAAGACGTTCCTGAACCAACTCGTGGCGAGGACAGATTCGAGTGGAAGATAGCTGAGAATGTATTCAAGGATGAATTTTCGACAACAAGTACCTGGAGGTTACTGAGGCAGGCTTCTCCAAAGGTGGAATGGGCTGATCTAGTATGGTTTAAATATGCGATCCCAAGGTATGCTTTTGTTCACTGGATGGTTATGCAGAGGAGGTTGCCAACGCGAGACAAGTTATTTCGATGGAACATTACACAAAGCTCAACATGTGTGTTGTGCAACGAGGAGGAGGAGACACATGAGCATCTATTTTTCCGATGCGCATTCAGCTTGGAGACTTGGAAGCCGCTTGCAGCGAAGATTAGGACTAACCCTCCGGCTGAGCTTCTGAGATGTCGACAGTGGCTAGAGCAAATTCCACCGATGGATGGCTGGGAAAAAAGAATGGTATTGAAAACACTTATCCAACATGCGGTTTACGAAATTTGGAAGGAACGAAACTGCCGAGTGTTCAAAAACTTGGCTTCGACTACTCAGGTTCTCCGGCAACGGATTGACAAATCGATGCGGACTTCACTCCTCTCTTTGCAGCAGGCAGGTCATAGTAGAAGCAATCCACTGCTTCAGAAATGGTACTCTTGGACTATGTATTGAGAAATTGGTGATATTAGTTGCGTAGACATTGCTGTAAAGCTCAATTCCTGTATAGGTTAAGCTAGCGAAAGCTATTAATGTGGATTTGGATCTTGTACTATGTACAACCCATTTGTGAAGAAATAGATTAAACATTTCATCAAAAAAAACATCCAAAAATGGTGAGACCCACTGCTGCTAAAATTTTTCAGAAACTCCTGCGCCTCCACCGACTACCGTCTAAGCCTCTGTTGTTTACCACTTTTTACAAAAAGTGAATTTTGCCTTTTCAAATTACATGTTACAAAGACTAGCGTGAGATTGTGTATAATCAAAAGAACAGGCTATGCTTTATATAAACAAAAGAAGACGGCGATGACTCAGCCATTTTCCCCGCCTGATTCAAATAAACCCAAAGCCTTTGATTCAAGTCGAGCGTCCCAACGAGATTTGTAAGGCACTCACAACATCAAGATCAAGATTTTCCAAGCAAAGAAGAGGGAGCACATTCGTTGGGTTTTTTTTTACTGAGGCATTTCCATCCAAATAGGTCTATGTCTGGATATTAATTATTGGCTTATTATAGTTTCAAGGTAGTTGGCGTCAACTGTATGTATGTGTAAGAAAGCTTTAATATGTGAGTTGCATTGAAGAAGAATTTACTATGTGTTATGACTTTGGACTTACGGTAAAAACAATAACTTTGTATGGGTGCCAAGCCTAGGTAGAGAGCATCCCCTAAATTGAAGAACGTATGATGAGGACCGGAACCCTGATCAAAGCACTCATATAACACATGGTATATGCACTTTGGAGGGAGCGGAACTGTCGAATTTTCAACAGCAGCACAAACTCCGAACATCCTGCGAGGTCAAGTGGATCAATCGATGAGAAGCACTCTCCTTTCACTCCAACAAGGATTCGAATTTGCGGACAATACACTACTGCAGAGATGGTATTTTCACACTCTTCCCAACCTAAATGAGGAATAGATTAATATAGACAAAAGTGACAAAGTTGTATTGGTTATTCTTAAGTAAAGAGTCAGTGCCAAAGCTTGTAATGTGGTCTTGGATCCTGGATTATGTCCCACCTATTTTTTTTATTAATACATACCAAATTTTATATAAAAAAAAACTTTGTATGGTATTATGATCAATTTAACTCGAACTTTCACAAGTGTGCACCAACTTTTAATATCATAACACTGAGATAGAAACTTTACATTCTTTAGATACTAGTTTGTAAGACTTTAGCGCAAGAGTTTCGTTATTGTGAGAACTTTTATGCTTGAGTCGATTGAATATGGCACTTTTTTTTTTGGTGAAGGGTGAATTTTTATAAATATTGTAAAAGATATAACCCAAAGTCTTGTTTACAATAACCTTGCTTAATCTTTCCTTTTATTGCATACATTATTCATATAAATCCACGCAGTTTGGTCGACTTTGTATATTTCTCCCCGCAAAAAGGAAAAAAACAAGTGGACGTTGGTTTTTTGGCTCAGTAATATTGTTTACTTTTAATGACTTGCATGTTGGCCCTCATGGAGTATTAAGGCGCCAGTTGTACATTTCATACAAACACACGTACAAATATAGCCACTCTTTTGATATAATATATTTGTCATATATGCAGAAAATATGACTAATTAAGAATGCATGACTGGTGTGAAACTGGTTCGATGTGGACTCTTTTTTGACAAGTTGTGCCGGCATTTTGTAGTGTTATAATGGAAGGATATGAAATAATATCTAATATCCTTCCATTATGTTATATATATATATATATATATATATTAATTTGGTTTTTCTATCAAAAATAATTATAAAAATCAAATTAATATAATACTTTAAGACTAAATTAATCATATTTTTATTGTGATTTTGAAGTTGATAGAAAAATCAAAAGAAACAATTTTTTAACTAAATAATTATTTCTTGAATTTGAATATAAATATCGAATTATTACAAAATGAAATCATCATATACCATAAAGTTGCCATATAGTATACAATACGTACACTAAATAAATCAAACTATAGAATTGCATTTAACTGGCGCTATTACACCAATCTTTCTATCTAAAGGCTCGTTCTTCTATTTATTTCCAACTAGCTCTCGACCATACAATTTCACATCCAATACACACACACACACACACATACACACTTAAAGCTTCAAAATCAAAATGATTCTCGAAATCTTTTCCATTGGGAAGAGAACAACACTCGAGCCTCTGTGGCTTTTCAACTCAACCCTTAATTCCGAGTCCCAACACCCTACTTCCCTCCTTTGTCTGCATGGGAAACTATTCTAATATTTTAGATTCCAATGCAATCTTTAATTCGATTAATTTTCAATTCGATCGTAAAAAAGATATATAATTTTAATTTTTTATATAAGATTTTAATTTAATTCAGATAAATATATATCTGTATATATGTATTTTAGTAATAAAATTAAATCTATTCAATTTTTGTTGCTCTTTTTATATTAAAATAATCCAATTCTAAAAAACAATATATTATCAATTTTCGTATCAGATCTAAATTGAAATACGATTAGATGCCGTAATAATTCGTTATAAATGGTATGATCATATGCCATAATTTCATATCGTATACAAATACGATTAGAGATTTTTTACAAAAAAAAAAAAAAAATACGATTAGAGATATTCGCAATATCTATTTGATACAGCACAAAAATAGGAAAGTAGTTAACGTGTGATTATACATTAATATATACATACAGATATTGTTAACTTAGTTACAACCACTTTCTTATTTTTCTGCTGTATCGAATATACACCAAGATATTGTGAATATCTCTGATAAATACGTGATAAATTGAGTCATTGCTTTCTATATTATACTTTTGTAAATGATAATATTATAAAAAAAAAAATAAGAGAAAGAATATGCAATTAATATTCATATAAATTTTTTGGGTAAAACATTTACAACCTCAGGTTGCGAATTATCAAATTTTAATACAGAATTCGTCTTAAAATTCATATTAACTTTTTTTTATAAATTTTAAAATTATAATAATTTTGTTAGGATATTTTAAATGTATTTATTTTAAAATTTAAATAAGATGTTATTAAATGTTTATTTAATTATCTGAAATTGATAAGCAGATTTTTTTTTTTTTGAGAATGCCAATAGTCATCTTGGAAAATACATAGAATCTTAATAACCTACCGACTCATTTTGGCAAGCGTCGTTCAATACAGCTCCGGATCTGTCCTTTATTTACAAACCGTATTAAATAACATGTATATATCTATATATAATATAAGATGAAAATTAAAATAAATTAATTTTATTTATTAACTATTATTTTATATTGAAATGAGTTTATCAGAACGCTAAATTAAATATCATTTTTTTTTGTCTTTCATATTTTTATAAACTTCTGTAATTTCAAATGAGAATTTGTTTAGAAGATTGATATTAAAAATCCCCACGAGTAAATGCTGATTTTATATTTTTGGTATTATAGAATTTAATTTAGCAGACATAATACTGTATATATATCGTATTTAATATATAAAATCATCAAATGATTTGAATTTTATTATCCCAATAAATATACAACGCTTTTATATATATATACATAATATATTCTATCAGTATGTTTACAAATGTATTTTTTAAAATATAATTTATAGCTAACCAGACGAAATGAAAATATTAAATTTTACCGCGTCCTTTTTTGTTCCTTTGAAGTTTAAATAACCCTAGAAGATTCATTTTGTTCATCGCCTTCTCTTTCGCTGTTAGCACTTCTCCTCAATAACAATGGCGTTTTGGGGTAAATCGCTGTTTATCAAAATTTTCACCGAAAAAAGGACGTATAAACTGACGGATTTCGATTTGCAGGTGTTGAGGTGAAACCTGAGAGGTCCTTCATCCTCAGTGCTTCCAGTTCACGTGCAAGGCTTCACATTTCTCAGGTTCAGCAATTTTCTGTTTTTTCTCTTAAGACTCTGTTCAATGAGTTCGTTTTTCCTTGGAGTTTTTGAGATTTTCTACTTGGGGTTACATTTTATGTTTTTTGATTTGGGCCTGTTCAAATGTTTCCGGAAACCCTAGATATGAATGAATGGTAAATTTTTTAGGTGAACTTAGTGTTTTTTGCATCTCTGTCTATCTTTTTTGTTCAATATTCTTTGATATTGAAGAGTTTATTGTTTCAGGCAGCACTAGGGATTGGGAATTCAAGGGAGAAAAGCATAGTCCAGTGTAAAGTAGGGGGCAAAAGTCCCATCATTTTGTGTGTGTTGTCTCCCGACAACGTTGAATCTGCCCTGTTGAATCTGGAATTCGAAGAAGCTGTCCACGCAGTCTTCTCCGTCGTTGGATCTCGAAGCGTGCATCTAACTGGTTTTTATCTCAATGGGAAGAAGAAGAAGACTAATTTCCCAGGGTCGTATCCTTTCATCTGCTCATATATATCTCCAGTGATTCACATATATGTATATATATACCATTTGTTCTGTTATTGTTCTTCTTAACTCTGGTGTTGACAGAGAGAATTACGAAGAAGACTTAGGAGATACGGATACGGAAAGGTCTTCCAAGGGTGACGATGATTATGACTACAATGATAGTTTTATCAATGACGCCGACCCTACAGCTCGCCCACTGCTTCCTCCAGGTTCTCTCTTTCTCTCTCTCTCTCTCTCTCTCTCTCTCTCTCTTTATGTCAACCTTTGAGTAATCCTAAGTTGTTTCTCTTCATTGTATTCATCTTCCATTCCATGACATGCTGCCATGTATGTTCTTGGTTTGTGGTGCAGTGTTTCCCTGGGAGATGGATGAGTGGGAGAAGAAACAGAAGTTAGTCGGAAAATACAAGAGGAAACACAATCTGGAGATGTTGGTTCGTCAAAAAACGTCAGGAGGAAGCAAATTCATGGGTTGATGTTCGGTTCGAGCGTCTGAGGAAAAAAAAGACTGGTGTTCCCAATTAAGCTTTCCTTTTTGTTTCGTTGGGTTAATGGTCGGTTGAGTTTGTGTTGGGTTAATACTCTCAAGTTTGGTTGTTTCAGTGTTCTCTGTTTGGTCTTATGATTCGTTTGCTGAGCATTACGATTACGCCGTTCTCCGTTATTGATTTTCAGAAAAGAATGATGTTTATGAGTTTTAATCTTATTTTTTGGATTAAATTCTTTTATTCATTCGGCTTAAACTGTTCATAAATTTTATCACATGCTCTATTGTGAAAAAAATTCGGTTAAAGAATAAATATTATTATTGTTAGCCATCTGTAAGAAAATATTAATGTATTTTAATCTGAATTTAAATCTAAACTTAAAAACAATTTATTATCCGAATTTGAATTTTAAGGAATTCATGTGTCCGAATTTTGACTATCCATACCATACGGGGCTTTATCTGATTTGCCTCAGCATACTTCTGACCATACCCTCCTACTAGAAAAAAAAAAAGTTTCACTTCTGTTATACCATTCTTAAAACGCATTTCTAATTTTACCCTTTACATTTTAATTAAATAAAAAATCAATCTTTATTTTCTTCTGTATACACAATTTTTTTTGTATCTCTTTCCTCATTCTCTCTCTTCATTTATGCTTTTTCGTTTCCTTTTCCTCATTTTCTCTCTCTTCATTTAATTCTTTTTTCCGCATTGATTTTATTTTTTATTTATTTTTTTATAATTCATATATTTACCTCCCCTCACTCTATTCACAAAAGTCTCTCTCTCTTCTCTCACACGATTCTCTCTCATATAATTATTTTTTTTCTCTTCAAATTCAACTAAAATCATTTCAAAATCAATAAAAAAATTTATAGATTTCACTATAACATCACTTAAAAATTCATATAATTGAGATAAAAATTTGAATATAAGTAAATTATATTCTAAATTTTGGTATTTATTATAAATATTGGGTTTTTTCTTTTTTGGTATTTAAAGTTATTTATATGATCAAATCAATATCATTATGTGTAAAAATTGTGTTTTTTTAGAATATTTGTTGCATGATATATACTATAGAAAAACATAGATGCACTTTAAATCTTGATTATATAATCTTTGTTAATGGCATATTTGTATAAATATAGATGTATTTGATCGTGTAATCATTTTTAACTTTTGTGATCCGTTTGATCTTTGTGTCTAATATAATATGTTATAAATTACAGTTTTATTATGTTTGTTGAATGATGTATTATATAAATATAGGTGTAAATCGAACCTAAATTATAATTTGTGAAAATATATAGATTTTTATGTACTTTTCATATATGTGATTCACATTACTCATTGTATTTGTATACTAATGTGTTATAAAACATTTGTACAATAATGTCGAAAGTCCTTTGTATAATAATATTGTAATATATTTGTACAATAATGTATTAAAAATTTTGGATAATATTGTGTTGTATTATAATAATGTCCTACTCTGAACTTTGTATTTTTGCATATATGTGACTTGTATTACATACTAAATAAGTTGACTCATATGAGCCAAGGTTGTGACCCATTGTGACCAGCATGTGACCTTGTGACCGAAGTGCAATTTTGAACTGTGTGACCATTGTGACCGAATGTGACCCGTGATCGAAATGTGCTGATAAATATAGGCCAAATTTTAATTTTTAAGATTCGATGTGGTTTATCAGAGTCTATATATCAAATATATAGTGTGTATGATAAAATTTCAAAATATTTTAAGGGGGTTGTAGAAAAAATATACCAAATTTGTCAAATATACTCATAAAACACTATGAAACATATATGATTACATTTGGAAGAACAACTTTGAAATACAAAAATCGCAAAAACCATATTTAAATGTTTGAAACAACATAAAATATGTTTGTGAGATATGTGTGACGTTGTACAGTGATTAAATTGACAAAAATCATATGGATTAAAGGTTGTGACCGATTGTGACCGACTGTGACCCATTGTGACCAAAATATGCTGTAGGACCCACACGAAGAACTAATAAGAATTTCTCCAGTTTTTTGTGTTTTGTAGGGTCCACAATCATTATTTCCATTTTTTTATATTAATGTGGGGCCCAATTTGAATATTCAACCCTATATAATTTTATTCTTAACCCTATCTTTTTTTCCTCCCAATTTTTAACCCCAAATTTTTACCTATAACATTTTCAACCCACAATTTTATGTATAAAAAATTACAAAATATTGTAAGGGGTTTATAAAACAAAAACACCAAATTTGTTTAAAATACTCATAAAACACTATAAAATATAATAGAACACATTTGGGAGGACTACTTTGAAGCCAAAAAATCTCATAAACCATATTTAGACTCATATTTTTTCATAAAACACAAATAAGTTAGGATCGATTTTTAATAAACAAAAAATGAAATACAAGAGTTCATAATTTAGGCTGCTACCAAACAAAGAAAAACATGTCATAGTTAGGGTTCAAAACAAAATAAACAAAGTAAATTTAGTGAAATAAATTAAAAGTTCACGCTTTAATCTTCCGAAATCTCTATTGTCATGTCTCCTAAAAACTTGGACTCCGTAATGTATTTCGTCATGACTTCCATAACCGCTTATAACCCATGTGATCTTGTAACTTTGTGACTCGTGACCTTATGTCCTATGTGATCTTGTGACATTGTGACTTTGTGACCCGTGTGACCTTGTGACCATGTGATCTTGTAACCCATGTGATCTTGTAACCATGTGACCTTGTGACTATGTGACTATGTAACCATGTGACCATATGATCGTATGACCCTGCGATTTTTATTTCAACAATATCTTTACATCTTAACGCTATCAAATATGATACAATTGTACCAATTTGATATGTATGACGACTCGTATGATATGTGCGATCTTGTGACCTTGTGATCCGTGTGATCTTGTGACCATGTGACCTTGTGATCATGTGACCTTGTGACCATGTGACTTTGTGACCACGTGACATTGTGATCCGTTTGATCTTGGGACCATGACACAGTTGTACTATTATACAGTTTAACGAAAATTGGTTTGCTTCCATCCGAACTAATCCAAAATGGTTATGTAAAATTCACTTATAAACATTTTATTTCTCTTATATAACTACATATAAACTTTAACCAAATACTTTATTTTTATTTCAGATTTTATCACATAAACAAATCTCATATAAAAGATATGATCATCTTACAAAGAGTCTAAATAAAAATTATTTAATATACAAAGAGATAAAAGAGAAATTAAAAAAAATAAAAATAATGGAGAAAAGTAAATAGAAAGAATAGTGGAAGAGAGAGAAAATAATAATAAATTAATAAATAAAATATTCTATTATTTTTAAGAGAGAGGGTTCATTTAATTTCTTTTGTTTTTTAATTTAATACGTTATGAGTAAGGATAATACTGACTTTTAACCTTAAAAAGTAAGGAGTTTTTTTATCTTCCACAAAGTTCAACAAAAAACTTTTTTTCTTTTTTGTTTGGAGGGTAGGCGCAGAAGTCCTCCCAACAAAATAAAGGCATTTCAGATATATTGCCATACATACCCATCCTTTTTCTTTGATTTTCCATTAATGCTACTCAATGTATTTAATGTTGTTTTGGTAAATTCTAAATGAATATAAAATATACAAAACATTTTCGTAAATGGTGATTTTATATATCATCTTATATATAAAAGTACAGTTATATTAAAGAGGGGATGACACGTGTCCAATTAGTGAGAATATAAAACGTTTTTCACTTGATTTTCTATTTATTAATTATTTACCCATTAATATGAACGTGAGTAGTACATGTATATATAATTAAAAACCAGATGCAATTAATCTTAAATATTCAAATAATTAATGTTTTTTTTTGGTGTTCATATTGTTAATTAACAAGTCCCGAACGAATTATCCATATATTATAGATATTGCCTTATGATACTGGACAAAAAAATAAAACTTTGTTACATGACAATGCTTATTAGTTATTCGTGTATCTATAAAATGATTACTAAAGTGTAATATAAAAATAATAATAATTCGTCGTTATATTATAGTTTATAATACGATAACAATATTTTAGAAAATAGATCTAGCGCCGCAATCTCAATCGAATATTGAACCTCACACAATTCGCAAGAATGCTCAAAGAAATACCGAAAGAAAATGAGATACAAGGTTTAACGAGTTCGGATTACTCAGTGTGAGTATCCTACGTCTCGGTCGGATCAAGATCCGATGAATCCACTGTAGAGTTTTGAGAGAACGAATTACAAGCTCTTGATCGAGCTACAATGGCGGATGAGAATTACAATCTCATGTTACTTTCTTCAACCCAGATCGATGACCTAGTATTTAACAAACCCAGGGACTTGGGGTTTCCACATTTACCCCTGGCCGTTTTCCGTTACCGTCGACTGACAATTCTACCCTTACTGAGACTCTCTTTGGTATGGAGGATCTCTTCCATAGGAGCTAATGCTCAGCTCTTGTTCCAGATAGCCAAACTTCGACAAATCTCCACCTTTTGGCTAATCTGTTGTTCTCTCTCTGATTCATCTTATACACATCTTGACCCATTCTTCTTCAGGGTTATTCTGCGATCCTGGGCAAGCTCAAGGCTGATTTGAACTTACTCACCGGAACTCCCTTTGTGAGTATATCCGCTGGATTGTACTCTGTTCTGATCTTCTGCACTTTTATCAGTCCCTGACTGATTATGTCTCTGATAAAATGCAGCCGCAGGTCGATATGTTTTGTGCGCTCATGAAATACATTTTTCTTTGCCAAGCAAATGGTACTTTGTGAGTCGCAAAACACACTAGCACAACCCTGTTCAACTCCGAGTTCTTCAACCAGACCCTTCATCCAAATTGCTTCTTTTATTCCTTCTGGTAATACCATATATTCAGCCTCAGTTGTTGAAAGTGCCACAACATGTTGAAGACTTGATTTCCAGCTCACAACGCACTTTCCAATTGTGAAGACCATTCCTTAGATCGACCTCCTCTTGTCAAGATCAGTTGCGAAGTCTGAGTCACAATATCCTTGGATTTTGAAGTCTGCTTCTCTCTTGTACACCAGTTTCAGTTGATGAGTACCCTTGAGATATCTTAGAACCCATTTTATTGTTGACCAATGCTCGTTACTTGGTCTGCACATGAACCTGCTGACTAA